TGACATCAGGTATTTAAAATGACACATTGTCTATTGTGACATCAGGTATTGATAATGACACATTGTCTATTGTGACATCAGGTATTTAAAATGACACATTGTTGTGACATCAGGTATTTAAAATGACACATTGTCTATTGTGACATCAGGTATTTAAAATGACACATTGTCTATTGTGACATCAGGTATTGATAATGACACATTGTCTATTGTGACTTCAGGTATTTAAAATGACACATTGTCTATTGTGACGTCAGGTATTTAAAATGACACATTGTCTATTGTGACGTCAGGTATTGATAATGACACATTGTCTATTGTGACATCAGGTATTTAAAATGACACATTGTCTATTGTGACGTCAGGTATTGATAATGACACATTGTCTATGTGACATCAGGTATTTAAAATGACACATTGTCTATTGTGACATCAGGTATTTAAAATGACACATTGTCTATTATGACATCAGGTATTTAAAATGACACGTTGTCTATTGTGACATCAGGTATTTAAAATGACACATTGTCTATTGTGACATCAGGTATTTAAAATGACACATTGTCTACTGTGAGATCAGGTATTTAAAATGACACATTGTCTATTGTGACATCAGGTATTTAAAATAACACATTGTCTATTGTGACATCAGGTATTTAAAATGACACATTGTCTATTGTGACATCCGTTATTTAAAATGACACATTGTCTATTGTAATATTAGGTATATAAAATGACACATTGTTGTAATGTTAGGTATATAAAATGACACATTGTTGTAATATTAGGTATATAAAATGACACATTGTCTTGTGTAAATGTCAGGTATTTATAAAGATACTTTGTCTTTTGTAATGTCAGGTATATCAAATGGCACATTGTCTATTGTTAATATTGTGTAATTATAATGACACACTGTCTGAATATCAGAAAGTGTTTATCAGTGTCTTATCAAAACAACCCACCTGACAGGAGCAAAAGGTATTTGTAATACAAAAGAATGACATACCTGGGATACCTGAGATTCCTGACCAGAGGTGAGTAGGGCAATCATGTATTGTATGGTCAGTTATGTAACTTACACCTCCACCAGGTACATGTGAATTCTACTCCTAGGAAAGGTAAGTGATATGGAGTTGTAGAAGTGGCCTCATGTTTAGTATTTGGAGAAACCTGTTCAGAAGTCTGGTAAACAACCATGATCAAGAACCTCAATGGATTGTACATGTTTTACACTTTCCAAGATTCCAACCACTTCTGCTTTTGTCTAGGGTAGGTTGGGTTACTCTATAGTTATTTTGTGGGAATGACAGTTTGGGCTAGTTCTGAGGGATCAAATTTTGCTATGTTTATCAGTCTCCTTATTTTCAGGTATAAAACATATTTCATGAGATTTTAATTTATTGTAAAATGTATGCAAGGTATTTAATGTTATCCTATTTTTAATGACCATAAATAAATTGAAATTAAATTCCTCACAAATAATACCAATTATACAGTACATTGTACGTTTTTTTTTATACATACTGGAAATATTGACAAAGTTCTCCAAGCATTACATTTTACATGCATTCTGGCCTAGTCTAACACCATACATACACCCAACCCCAGTGTCCTCCTATCCCAGTGTGACAGTTTCCATTCATCCTACTGAAGTATGACACCTAATATACATTTACGTCATATTCACATGCATTCTTAGCCCAATGTGAAAACTCATATATATTTTTCCTGAGTGTCATCCAACCCAAGTATCATACCTTATATACATCCTACCCCAGTGTCATACCTTACACACATCCTACCCCAGAATCATACCTTATATACATCCTACCCCAGTATCATACCTTATATACATCTTACCACAGTGTCATACCTTACACACATCCTACCCCAGTATCATACCTTATATATATCCTACCCCACTATCATACCTTATATACATCCTACCCCAGTATCATACCTTTTATACATCCTACCCCAGTATCAACATTACACACATCCTACCCCAGTATCATACCTTACACACATCCTACCCCAGTATCATACCTTATATACATCCTACCCCAGTATCATACCTTACACACATCCTACCCCAGTATCATACCTTATATACATCCTACCCCAGTATCATACCTTACATACATCCTACCCCAGTATCACACCTTACACACATCCTACCCCAGTATCACACCTTACACACATCCTACCCCAGTATCATACCTTACACACATCCTACCTCAGTATCACACCTTATATACAACCTACCCCAGTATCATACCTTATATACATCCTACCCCAGTATCATACCTTACACACATCCTACCCCAGTATCACACCTTATATACATCCTACCCCAGTATCACACCTTATATACATCCTACCCCAGTATCATACCTTATATACATCCTACACTAGTATCATACCTTACACACATCCTACCCCAGTATCATACCTTGCACACATCCTCTACCCCAGTATCATACCTTACACATATCCTACACCAGTATCATACCTTACACACATCCTACCCCAGTATCATACCTTATATACATCCTACCCCAGTATCATACCTTATATACATCCTACCCCAGTATCGAAACTTACATACATCCTACCCCAGTATCACAACTTATATACATCCTACCCAAGTATCATACCTTACATACATCCTACCCCAGTATCATACCTTATATACATCCTACCCCAGTATCATACCTTATATACATCCTACCCCAGTATCATACCTTACACACATATACATACCTTATATACATCCTACCCCAGTATCATACCTTATCATACCTTATATACATCCTACCCCAGTATCATACCTTATATACATCCTACCCCAGTATCATACCTTATATACATCCTACCCCAGTATCATACCTTATATACATCCTACCCCAGTATCATACCTTATATACATCCTACCCCAGTATCATACCTTATATACATCCTACCCCAGTATCATACCTTATATACATCCTACCCCAGTATCATACCTTATATACATCCTACCCCAGTATCATACCTTACACACATCCTACCCCAGTATCATACCTTATATACATCCTACCCAAGTATCATACCTTACACACATCCTACCCCAGTATCATACCTTATATACATCCTACCCCAGTATCATACCTTACACACATCCTACCCCAGTATCACACCTTATATACATCCTACCCCAGTATCATACCTTATATACATCCTACCCCAGTATCATACCTTATATACATCCTACCCCAGTATCACACCTTACACACATCCTACCCCAGTATCACACCTTATATACATCCTACCCCAGTATCACACCTTATATACATCCTACCCCAGTATCATACCTTATATACATCCTACACTAGTATCATATATTATATACCAGTATCATACCTTACATACATCCTACCCCAGTATCATCCCACCTTACATACATCCTACCCCAGTATCATACCTTATATACATCCTACCCCAGTATCATACCTAACACACATCCTACCCCAGTATCACACCTTATATACATCCTACCCCAGTATCATACCTTATATACATCCTACCCCAGTATCATACCTTATATACATCCTACCCCAGTATCATACCTTATATACATCCTACCCCAGTATCACCTTATACTATATATACATCCTTATATATCCCCAGTATCATACCTTACACACATACATATACTTACACCCCATCCTACCCCAGTATCATACCTTATATACATCCTACCCCAGTATCATACCTTATATACATCCTACCCCAGTATCATACCTTACACACATCCTACCCCAGTATCATACCTTATATACATCCTACCCCAGTATCATACCTAACACACATCCTACCCCAGTATCACACCTTATATACATCCTACCCGAGTATCATACCTTATATACATCCTACCCCAGTATCATACCTTATATACATCCTACCCCAGTATCATACCTTATATACATCCTACCCCAGTATCATACCTTATATACATCCTACCCCAGTATCATACCTTATATACATCCTACCCCAGTACCTTACACACATCATACCTTATATACATCCTACCCCAGTATACACACATACCTTATATACATCCTACCCCAGTATCATACCTTATATACATCCTACCCCAGTATCATACCTTATATACATCCTACCCCAGTATCATACCTTATATACATCCTACCCCAGTATCATACCTTATATACATCCTACCCCAGTATCACCTTACATACATACCTTATATATATCCTACCCCAGTATCATACCTTACACACATCCTACCCCAGTGTCATACCTTATATACATCCTACTCAAGTATCATACCTTATATACATCCTACCCCAGTATCATATATTATATATATCCTACCCCAGTATCATACCTTATATACATCCTACCCCAGTATCATACCTTACACACATCCTACCCCAGTATCATACCTTATATACATCCTACCCCAGTATCATACCTTACACACATCCCACCCCAGTATCTTATCTTATATACATCCTACCCGAGTATCATACCTTATATACATCCTACCCCAGTATCATACCTTATATACATCCTACCCCAGTATCATACCTTATATACATCCTACCCCAGTATCATACCTTATATACATCCTACCTCAGTATCACACCTGATATACATCCTACCCCAGTATCATACCTTACACACATCCTACCCCAGTATCATACCTTACACACATCCTACCTTAGTATCATACCTTACACACATCCTATGCCAGTATCATGCCTTATATACATCCTACCCCAGTATCATACCTTACACACATCCTACCCCAGTATCATACCTTATATACATTCTTACCTTAGTATCATACCTTATATACATCACACCTGAGTATCACACCTTACACACATCACACCTTAGATATGTCCTACCCCATTATCATATGTTATACATATCGTATCCTAGTGTTGGTTATGTTTTTTATGTTTTAAGTTTTTTTTTATATTTTTCAGGCAATTTTTGGGGGTCACATTTCCGGAAAGCGAAATCCAGATGTGAGAGTCAACCCTATTTTTAATGGTAAACATAACAAAGGTGATGGATACCAGTCAAGTGAAGTGGACAGTGAAAATAATATCATAAATGGACAAAAGGACCAGTCCAGCACAGAAATCCTAGTGAATCAAAACACTGAAGATCAATTGACAATTCATCAGAGCACTGACAGAAAGAGTATGGTTACCAATCAGGAAAGTCAAATATCTGTACGATCAGAACGTGAGAGTTTGAAAGTGACAAATGGCAATGTGTTAGTAGGAGATATTGTCATAGAGAATGGATACAAAAATCCAAGTTTTGAGGGAGATGTGATAACAGAATCAGTCAAACAGAGAATCGCTGATTGGTCGACATCAGACAGGAATGGAGAATCAAACAATACCATGCAATATTCTGATAGTAAAACTACTGACTCGCCTCATACTATTTCTCAAAACAATAACAGCATATCAGACTGGCCTGACCTGGATGAAATAACCTTCACAGAAACATCAGAGGTTAAAGACCCAGACAAAAACATGTGTAACCATGGAAAAAGTGATCCAAGTTGCTTATCCATGGAAACAGATTTATCAAATGGTTTTGTGAATCATAACACTTGTCAGAGCGATAACGAAGACATTGTTGTCAAATCAGATGATGGTGTCCATACAAACTCCACAGAAAATGGTATCATATCACTTGAGAACGGTCACCATGACCCAGTCATGACAGAGAAAGACGACTCTAAAGAGTGGGAACACGTCAATGGAAGTGAAATAAAACCTGGAAAGAAAATAAAAGAAAGGAAAAATTCTGTGCCAGATCATATTCAGAACTGTGTAGGCTTGGACCGACCAAAAGGAATCAAACCAATTCTTGTGTCAGGAATTTCAGTCGACGAAACTAATCCTTCATGCGAACAATCTGAACACAAGACTGTTAAGTTCTCAGATGATACTGTGTTTAATGATGGCCGACCAAATAAATACCGACGAGACACAAAACTGATCAACCTTCGGGAAATCTACAAAGGCAAGGTAAACAGTGATTATGCCCTTGCCAAGCCAAACCCTATCTTTTTGGATGACAATGGTCTAGAAAACAGTCTAACTGATGATGAGAAGGTAGCCCGAAGTTGGGGTCAGGTAAGATAGATCACATATCGTAGAATGAGGTATTGATTGGCTTGGTACTGGGCTATGTGCCTAAGATACACAGTCAGTGATTGGCTGGGTACTAGGTCACATATTGTCAGAGTAGATGGTGATTGGCTGGGTATGGCTTATTTCAGTAGAGCTAGCTTTATGCTTTTTAGGTCGCTTGAGACAAAGTCTCATGGTGACCTATGGTGATCACTTTTGTCTGGTGTTGTGCGTCTTGCAACTGTAAACTTTTAACAATTTCGACTTCTCAATAACCCCAGAAGCGACTTTAATAAAATTTTGTAGAAACCTTCCTGGCCTAAGGTAAACCATAAACCAAAATAGTGAATTATACAGTCCTGACCACACAGGGGCCTGAGGGTTGGGGCCAAAAGGTTCAAATTGACTCAAATTTCAAAAATCTTTTTCTCGACACCCAGAAATGCTCAAAACAAATTTTCTTCATAGATGGAAACATATTGAGGTGCTTTACCACAGTTGTGAATTTCATGACACCAGATATTTGCATTTTCCCGTGGGGAGGGGGTAAAGTTTACTATAGTATATATATACTTAAAGTAGATTTTTGAGCATAATTTGTCTACTTTCCATTAGAAATATTTCATACTTAGTATGAATCTTCTTAACACTCAGATATGGTAGAATCAAATGCTCTTATGAATGACAGCATCTTAAGGTGCTTTACCAAATGGGTCACGCATTTCTCCCAGGGGAGGCAGTTAAATTTACTATGACTGAGCATAAAGTTGTGTTTTTCATTGGAAATAACTTACAATTACTAAACTATTACTATAGGATGACAGTTTTGATGGTATGCAGACACTGGCTTAAGATCAGCAGTGCCACAATTTCTTTTTCATGACACTTGAAAGCTACCTACCACTTAACCTTTAATTCAATATTGCTTATCTCGGGTGAGTATCAAGGATGCTAGGCCTCTTGTTCTGCAATGTTTAAGGGGTTCAAGTGGTACAGTCAAGTATACTTCTGCACTTCTGTACCCTTTTCTTTTTGAAAGCCATAGGCTTGTGATCAGAACAGCTATGTGCTTGCTTATTTCTTTACTAGGGCCCCACATCAGATGTGGTCCTGCCCTGTAGTAATCAAGTTGTTTGTCTATTATTTTCACATATTCAAAGTATAAGGAGTAATTCTGGACCAATAGGTATGTATGGTGAAATTAAAAGATGGGAGTGCAGTCAAAATTGCCGCCATTTAGTAAAATAGTATAGTAGTGTTTATTTTAATGGAACTCGCCATATATACTTTTTAGCTTAAACCCTTGTGGGATTTATATTTTCAGCAAGCTCTGTGCATGAGTCTTTTAGGGTCTAATTGGCAATCCTTTTCACTCAATATCCTCTGCCCGAAAGATCCAATTCCAGTGAAACTTGCTAGTGTCTTTATGTACTTCAATGATTTCAAAAAAATCTTTTGTTTAGCAGAGTATTTGCATATTGAATGAGGTGCTGTAATCTGATTGGCTTCAGAAACCACCTGTTAATAATTTTCATGAATATTGCTTGATAATTACATACAGTTATTACCAAAACACCTTGCATAGGTTTATGTGTGGCAAAGTTAGGCAACTGAGAAGGCCAGTTAACATTACTGATATTTATGTCAATGATCAAGGTCATTGAGTAACAATCTGGTCAAGGTCACTCTATTTGTCAGATATACTGTGATGCCTTTTCTGACCAGTCAGTGTGATAATTTTGATAGTGTCCAGAGAACATTTACAATTATTGTTTTGATAGATTCTTATTTTGGATGCAATATTGTTAGATTTTTTTATAGCATTTGTGTTCAGGATGCTGATATGTCAGTTCATGTTATGAATTTGATTTAAAGGGCAATATCTTGCAATGATCTTAAAATATAATTTCTTAGGGATGCTGTCAGCAAAGCTGAAGATAGATTGGATCATAGTGTGTAGCCGTTACATTAAACCAAATATTACAAAGTTTTTTCTGTGAAGAAGTCTTCTTCATGTTTACCGCGTGCAATCATTGTATTTAAAACTTAGCTATGTCATTAGACTGTGCAGCGAAAAATTGAATTTCATCAAGTTACATTTAACTTATACATTATTTCCAAGTTATTGTGTGAAGCTTGGCAATGAAATTCTACTAAAGTAAAATTGATTAAGAATTGATCATTGTACTAAAATTATTTGCTTTGATGCACTCCTCCCAATCTTGCCAGGTTAAAGGCTACATGGCATTGCCTACATTCCTCAGCCACCACATGATCACGTCTTCAAAACAGGCTTTTATCACCGACCAAAGCCCTAAGCCACTCCAGTTGGTAAGGTTTTACCAACTCAACACTTGAAATTGTTAGATGTTCTGAACTAACAGACTTTGACGAAACTGACTTAAGGATGACTAACTGGAATGTTGAACGATTGTTACTAACATGTTTGAAATGATCAGCATCTTGTTGCTGGTTGAGCTGTACATGAAACATGTTGCATGTTTTTGTATCAATACTACTTCTCTGGTGTAGGATTGGAGTGTAGGCTAATAACCAAACACATATCTGTATCAACTACCTGTTATCTATGTCTTGGTTTCGAGGTATGGTGCATGGTTTGACACTACAGGTGCAATAACAATGTTTAATTAAAATTACATTAACTTAAAAGTTTATTAACTTTAAAAGACATTTAATTTTAATGGATGACAAGTGATGTGCTTTGGAAAACTGATATGACAGCTGGTCAGTGTTATAACTATAAAAGTTGTCACATTTTTGTTTTATCACATAATTAAAGAACTAATTAAGACAACCTAGTTTGAGGTTTCAATTTGTTTTATCCTCTGATGAGAAGAAGAGAAACTTGTTTGAAGTCCTAGCTAGCAATAACAGCTTTAAAAGACAGAAAAAAAATTAATTAAAAGGTTTGTTTTTGCCTATTTCTTGCATAATGAGGAGTAGAGAGCAGTTTGTAGTGTTACCTTACAACATTCAGTCCCCATGTCCCTAAACAGGCACATTTCACTAGCAACATAATTTCCTTTGAGAACCTGAACTTTACAGGTAGGATGAATATAAAAAAAAACTCAGATGAGTTTGTACTTCAGAGTTGCAAAATCAGCCTGTTTGGGAAGGTCACCACTACTATTTATTGAAATCCCTTGACCCATTTAGTGACATCACTCAAGACGCTTTAACATTTCTTAAGAGATTTTTATCACACTATACAATAGGCAAAGTTCCGGTTTGGTGAATACATCACATGTGTTTTCGCTGTTTCAGTGTGTCAAGGTCATCAATTAATGCTACTACACATATTTATAATGTGAATCAACAAATAATCACACCTGGTCTTTTGAGGTGAATGGGGCAGGCCAAATGGGGGAAATAAGAGAATTATTTCTATAACCCTTTTCCCTCTAAAGGAATGCCAAGATGCTTTCCAAATTTGGTCTGAAGCATCCTTGTGTGAAAAGGAATCAGTTTTGTATAAATGATAAGCCTTGGGCAAGAGGGGTAGGACCCAAAAGGGGAAATAGAGCAGATTCTTTTTAGTTCTTTTGCTGTAGAAATGGCAGGACTCTGTCCCAATGTTGGTTGAAAAATGCTTGCATTGAAGAAGACTTTTGTATAAATGATTTGGCTAACTCTCTTGGGTAGAGGGTTGGGACCCAATGGGGAATTGTATATGAACCTTTAGATTTTCATTTCCTTTAGTTTGAATGAAGCAATTTCAGCCAAACAAGGCCATGTGAGCAATACAGGCCCAATGGACCTCTTGTTTTTTTAAACAGATTTTGATCAAACTATATTAAGAAAATGTTATGAGTGAATAATGTTTCAAGGTTTCATGCTCAGTTTGAAGTCAACATTACTATAATTATCATCACAATGTGCTAAATTTTCATGAAAGCAGATCCATTCATGTCTGACAAATGGAAAAATGTAATAGTAGAACGAAATTCAATTTGAAAACAAATGAATGAATAAATAAAAACCAACATGAATTGTTCACTGTGTAAATTATAATGTACTAGTGTATGTAGACTATATAGTGGTATCAATGTTTATAGATGTGATCTAACATCTGAAGCTCTGAGTACTACTTAATTCATTAATTTCTATAGAGTAATTAAGATTACTATAGTCATTATGTTTTAATAATTAGTATGTAGTATGTTTTGCTTAAAGAAGTAATTGAAATGTGAGCTTCGACCCAGTCACTGGAGTTGACTAGTGGTTGGTATAAAAAAATCTTATTGTTTGCCAATAAGCAACAAAAACTTTAAACAGCAAAACTTCTTATTTAAAGCCGTTATGTCAATATGAGCTGTCTTACCTTATAATGTGGCTATGAAATGGTCTTAATTTTGCTTATCTGCAATTCATATTTGAAATTTGCACCAATCAATCTTTGAGCAACTGGGTTCAAGAAAAGTCTTTTTTATTTTAACTCAGTATAGTCATGTCTACACTTCTTAGGTACAAAATAAGGATAAGAAAATCTTGATGGTTGCACAATTATGACTGTCTAGTTATTAGTGTTTTGCACTGTTCTCCACTCATTAATAAACTATTAGCTTGTAAAATCCTGACCAATCTCATCTTTTTTTCCAATATCTTGTAATATTTTTGTATTTTTTAAAAGCGGAGGTCTTTATTTACGTTTTTTTACCTTTATATATAAATGATAAACTCCCCACAATGTGAGTGACATGGTATAGAAGCTTTAAATTATGATTTTGTGACATGCAAATACTTGACAAACAGTGTCAGTCCTGTCATCAATGTGAGTTATGAAATGAAATCATGGCTATAATTTATAAACAAGTTTTTAACTTGTCATTTCAGGACGAGACTGGTGACATTGAAACCATTGAAACGGAAGGGAAGCCTCGGTACGACAGACTCATTAAACAGACCATTGCTAGGCAACGACGCAGCAAACTCATACGCCTTATTTTTGCGTTCCTTGCATTTCTTGTTGTTATAGCAGCTGTTGTTTTGTTGGTGATATATTTTGGGAAGTCCTGACAATTCTACAAAACCGTAATATTGTTAGGTATCCTGTCTGATGATACAATATATCATATCTTTATCCAGAACATCACTGTGTAATGATGAATTCCTGTGATATATAAACATTTCCACCCATATCTTTATACATAATATAAATCATATTGTCACTGATTCTTTAATCCAGTATACCACAAAGTAAAATATTTTGTAAATATTTTTGAGATTACAATCAACAAAATGGTTTTAATATAAAGTTGAATCCTTTCCATCAAGTAGAATACTTCATAATTAGCCTGTTTTATTACGTCACCTGAGACAACGTTTCATGATGACATGTTCTAATACCCTTCATCTGGCATCATGTGTTATTCGTTGGTAAACAATTTCACACTTTCAACTTCTTCTCAAAAACCCCTGATCCAATTTCAATGAAATTTTGCAGAAACCTTCCCTGGCAGAAGATGAACCAAAATTGTTAATTATACAATCCCCAACCCCTTACGGCCTGAGGGGTGGGACCAAAAGGTGTCAATTTGACTTAAATTTCAAAAATCTTCTTCTCCAGACCCAGATATGGTAGAATCAAATACTCTCCTTGAATGGAAGCATCTTAAGGTTGTTTAATTACCAAAATTATCTCACATTTCTTCCTGGGGAGGATATTTATTTTAGACTTTATTGTAATTTCGTATAAAAATTGTGTTTTTGAGCATAACGTTGGTTTCATGACATTTGACCTTTATATTCAATATTACTTATCTCAGGTGGCCATTAAGGCTGCTAGGTCTCTTGTTTGATTACTGATTATTTTCTGAGGTTATTTAAAACTGGCTTAATTGACAGATAATTAAAACTACTTGTTGGAACATCCTTCAGATTGGTTGAGAATAATGGTCCAGTACATCATACAGTCATGGTAGTATGAACCATCCAACCAACAAACTCCCCAACCCCCATGTCAGTTCCTCATTATAGTTCAGATATTGGTAACTTCTTGCTACATGAACTATCAAGAAATTCTGAAAATTCATTGCGAAATTGCAATATACCAATAACTTGTTCACAATATAGTTATTTAATATCTGATGTCATAGGAGTAAAAACATTAGCACAACTTCATTTATTATCGTGTAGTTTATACCGGGAAGCCAAAGCAAGATCTGTTCATTAAATAATGGGGGTGGGTCTATGATATGAGAAGGTACTGTGAGTATTATCTATACCAACAATATATGATATTACTTCTGCTATAAAAATAATCTCCAAGCTGCTCCTTTCATTACTGCAGTTGTACAGTTACCTTTCATTATCAAGTTTTAATCAGGGAACAGTTAATCAGCAATGTACTATATATTTGCAAAAAAATGTAATTTATAAGTTTCATATATAATTCCATGTGTATTTAAAAGTGAGTTCACTGTCGGCGGTGTCCATGATGTCGATGAAATGTCGCAGAACTTACTTTTGATATAATTTTATCAGACCAAGCCTTATGTCATTACTTACATTGGTGTTTAAGTATTTTTCTAGTTTGTATTATGTATATTTTGTATAGCTGTACTGTTTTGCATGAACGATGCATATGTTGTGACCTAATTCCTCAGTATAGTGACCTATTTTTGTGTCAATACATGTACATGTAATGTAAACTAGCCAGTTTTACTTAGCTTGGAGCTTTGTCAAAGATCTGAAATTCTTATGACCATTGGAGTTTTCCCTGATAAGTTACATAGTTTACCTTGCTGTTCTGTTGATTTTTCAAACAAACGTTGGTATTTCAGTAGTAATATTAATCTACAGGATCTTCACGATATGTGACTTCTGAAATAAGCCAAAGTATTTTTCATTTTGGCAAGCTTAAATGAAATATTTGTGACAATTTTTTTAAAAAACGTATCAAACAGAAATAAATCCAAGATATTTTTCTCACATGATCATTGTTGAAATAGGTTATGTTACACAAGTGAAATATTAGAAAACATTACATGGTGATATTAACTGAATGGCAAAGAAACCATTATATATAAAAGTATACTGAATACTGGAGTTAAATGTGGTGACCATTCACCTAATCAAATTTAGATAAGATTTCAATTTTTCCACATCAGTAGGTATTGCTGTCAGACGTTCACCCTGATTTCTTAACCAAATATCCAACTTAGTGAGATCTCAAGCTTTATTTAGAAAAGTGATGATGTGTTTCATCAACAAAATAAAGAGTGCATTAGAATGAAGGAGAGTAGTGACACAGTGAGTTTGTTTAAATTACATGGGCTATGTGCAAAGCTTTATGGGATTCAAAGGCAAAATATAGCTGACTAATTTGCAATTTATTTAGTCATTTTTCGAATTCAAATGATTGTGATTTGGGATGAAGACAAACAGGAAATTGTAATTATTCTTAAATTCTGTTCGAAAATGGACACATATTTATCAGCAGTGACAATATTCTAATTTAGAAAGTAGATATTTGTATTTAATGTAAGTATTGTATAACAAAAACAATACAAGTTCAGTGTGCATGTTTATTTTACTTATACGTTTATACTGAATCTGATCTAGTTAACATCCATGTGACTTTGAATGTCTATATGATATTGAAGGTGTCCATGTGGTACTATGGATGCCTCTGTGATAATGCAGATGTTCAGGTGACATTATGGATGTCCAAATGATATTGAGTGTGTCCATGTGGTGCAATGGATATGCGATATTGTGAATGCTCATATGATAATGTAGATGACCAAATGATATTGTATATGATATGCACTATCAGATGGATTTTCACAAAATCATGTATCAGATATAACAACCTGTCCTTGCAGTAGGTAGCAAGTGTTTTGATAAGCCAAACTTGGGTAGTATGTTTTAGGTAAACAGGGCTTTGATCAGCCAAACTTGGGTAGTATGTTTAAGGTAAACAGGGCTTTGTTCAGCCAAACTTGGGTAGTATGTTTAAGGTAAACAGGGCTTTGTTCAGTTAAACTTGGGTAGTATGTTTTAGGTAAACAGGGCTTTGTTCAGTCAAACTTGGGTAGTATGTTTAAGGTAAACAGGGCTTTGTTCAGCCAATCTTTGGTAGTATGTTTTAGGTAAACAGGGCTTTGTTCAGTCAAACTTGGGTAGTATGTTTAAGGTAAACAGGGCTTTGTTCAGCCAAACTTGGGTAGTATGTTTTAGGTAAACAGGGCTTTGTTCAGCCAATCTTTGGTAGTATGTTTAAGGTAAACAGGGCTTTGTTCAGCCAAACTTGGGTAGTATGTTTTAGGTAAACAGGGCTTTGTTCAGTCAAACTTTGGTAGTATGTTTTAGGTAAACAGGGCTTTGTTCAGTCAAACTTGGGTAGTATGTTTTAGGTAAACAGGGCTTTGTTCAGCCAAACTTTGGTAGTATGTTTTAGGTAAACAGGGCTTTGTTCAGTCAAACTTGGGTAGTATGTTTTAGGTAAACAGGGCTTTGTTCAGCCAATCTTTGGTAGTATGTTTTAGGTAAACAGGGCTTTGTTCAGTCAAACTTGGGTAGTATGTTTTAGGTAAACAGGGCTTTGTTCAGTCAAACTTGGGTAGTATGTTTAAGGTAAACAGGGCTTTGTTCAGTCAAACTTGGGTAGTATGTTTTAGGTAAACAGGGCTTTGTTCAGTCAAACTTGGGTAGTATGTTTAAGGTAAACAGGGCTTTGTTCAGTCAAACTTGGGTAGTATGTTTAAGGTAAACAGGGCTTTGTTCAGCCAATTTTGGGTAGTATGTTTCAGGTAAACAGGGCTTTGTTTAGCCATACTTGGGTAGTATGTTTTAGGTAAACAGGGCTTTGATCAGCCAAACTTGGGTAGTATGTTTTAGGTAAACAGTACTTTGTTCAGCCAAACTTTTTCGAGGTAACCTGTGATTTGAGCAGTCAAGTCCAACTATGTTTAAGGTAACAAGTGCTTTGTTCAGTCATGCTCGGGTTGCTGTTTAGGTAACCTTTTTTTATCAGCCTTGTCCATATTGTTTTTGAGGTAACCAGTGCTTTGATAAACCAAGCTCATGATGTATGTTTAAGGTAACCAGTGCTTTGAACAGTCTTGTCTATACTTATTTTTTAGGTTACCAGTGCTATGATCAGCAATGTCCAGGTTGTTTTTTGAGGTCTTTTATCAACAAAGCTCATTTTGTGCATTGAGGTAACCAGTGACTTGATAAGCCAAGCTCGTGATGTTTGTTTGAAGTAAACATTGCTTTGATCACCCAAATCCAGGTTGTATATTTGAGGTAACCTGTGCTTTGATCAGCAAAGCCCAGTTTATTGTTTAAGGTAACCAGTGCTTTGAACAGTCTTGTCTATATTGTTTCCAAATCCAGGTTGTATATTTGTGGTAACCAGTGCTTTTATCAGACAAGCCCAGGTTGTATGTTTGTGGTAACCAGTGCTTTGATCAGACAAGCCCAGGTTGTATGTTTGTGGTAACCAGTGCTCTGATCAGACAAGCCCAGGTTGTATGTTTGTGGTAACCAGTGCTCTGATCAGACAAGCCCAGGTTGTATGTTTGTGGTAACCAGTGCTTTGATCAGACAAGCCTAGGTTGTATGTTTGTGGTAACCAGTGCTTTGATCAGACAAGCCCAGGTTGTATGTTTGTGGTAACCAGTGCTCTGATCAGACAAGCCCAGGTTGTATGTTTGTGGTAACCAGTGCTCTGATCAGACAAGCCCAGGTTGTATGTTTGTGGTAACCAGTGCTTTGATCAGACAAGCCCAGGTTGTATGTTTGAGGTAACCCGTGCTTTGATCAGCAAAGCCCAGTTTATTGTTTAAGGTAACCAGTGCTTTGAACAGTCTTGTCTATATTGTTTCCAAATCAAGGTTGTATATTTGTGGTAACCAGTGCTTTGATCAGACAAGCCCAGGTTGTATGTTTGTGGTAACCAGTGCTTTGATCAGACAAGCCCAGGTTGTATGTTTGTGGTAACCAGTGCTTTGATCAGACAAGCCCAGGTTGTATGTTTGTGGTAACCAGTGCTTTGATCAGACAAGCCCAGGTTGTATGTTTGTGGTAACCAGTGCTTTGATCAGACAAGCCCAGGTTGTATGTTTGTGGTAACCAGTGCTTTGATCAGACAAGCCCAGGTTGTATGTTTGTGGTAACCAGTGCTTTGATCAGACAAGCCCAGGTTGTATGTTTGTGGTAACCAGTGCTCTGATCAGACAAGCCCAGGTTGTATGTTTGTGGTAACCAGTGCTTTGATCAGACAAGCCCAGGTTGTATGTTTGTGGTAACCAGTGCTCTGATCAGACAAGCCCAGGTTGTATATTTGTGGTAAACAGTGCTGCCGACAATATTGTCATTATCTTTCTCTGGAAATGATTCCTACACTGAATTGTAAATGTATGTAATACTAAATTTGTTGTATTTATTTACTGAATTAAAAGTTCCATCTTTTCAAACAACTATTGTCTTTTTTCATATAAATTTCATCTCTATTTCCACAATTCATGGACAGTTTGCTTCACAAAGGAATGTATTTGCAATATATTGCAAAGCCCATGGACTTGCATCAAACTCTCCATCCTACCGTCTGTATATGTGTATACACATATATAGAGGTCAGGTAATCCTACTGTTCCCCAGGTCTAGAAAGATGCCAACTACTGTCTTCTCCAACACTTCATTGCTACCTTTTTTAATGTGAGCAAAAGAACTTATTTTATATATATATATATATAGATAGTAGCCTAAATACAGCCTCTATATACCGTATAGGAAAATTTAAAAACGACCGATGATTTTTTTTACAGAGGCCTTACATTCCTTGTATTAAACCTCAACTAGTAGGTGTATGAATGTACAGCCAACTTGTAAAATTTTGATATGAACATCATATTTCTATTTGCAAGGAGTGTGGACTGGGTGTTGAAAGTTGTCCATTCTGACTTTTAGATTTAATTAAGATTAAATTCTATCAACTCGTCCATTTATAAAGTATCGTGCAGGTTTATATTTTGTTGCTGAAATAAAATTCCCTGCAAATGGGTAGACGCTCAACACCTTTTGACATCTGCACAGAAAATTCAACCCCAACTGTAACCAAAACACCGAGACAGTACCCACTTATCTTCTCGTGCATTAACGATATACAATACCCCTTACAGAAAGCTCTGTTTGTAATGTTTTAACCTGAGGTACATGACTTTAAATATTATTGTGTATATATGTAGTAAACACAAGAAGAAAGCTTAAAGGCATTATGCATTTAATTTTGAGAATATCTTCACAATTTATATCAATCACAGAATCCAAAAATTAATGCTTGTAGAAAAGACATAAGCATCAGCTGCACACAATTCTGAGATTGCAGTGAAATATGAAAATGTCGGTATTGAAATTAAAACCAGATTTTTTTTACCACATATCTCATCAATTACTTCCATAGGTGATAAAATCATACTTAATTTCTGATCAGGTCTGAACTGTTCAATGATAGAATATCTCCCCACGGTTTAATAATCACCATATATTCAAACCTCTATCTAACTCCTGATATCTGCTGTGAATGTTTTGTTGCCTTTGTTTAGCAAAAAAAAACCAAGCTATCTTACAAAATTTCAAAACAATTATGAAATGTAATTTCTGAAGCACCATCAACTTAAGGGACCATATACCAACCAGAATCATGTCCACACACCTTCCAAGCCAGATCATACTTAATCATCCTGGGATAACTTTCTGTTTCAGATTTACCTTTCGTTAAGGTAAGCCATCAACGTACATCAATAATAACAAATCTCACATTAAGACACAGGCATTTTCCAAAAAAACATCATTTGGAGTTTAAAAGTAATAATGCCATTCTGGATTACCTGGTGATGAAATGATTCATGGCTTATCAAGGTAGACAATACATAACTTCAGGTAATTATCACACACACCAAGTTTTCTTCAGGAATTTTTCTACAGCCACACATGATTTTGGTTTGACAAAAATTTAAAAGAGTTTAACCATCAGGAAATGGCAACAATAAAGCAATGTCCTACATCTCTCTATCGCTATGACTCCTCAGACGGATATAAAACAAGGTCAATAGGTACATCATTTGTATCGGTCGGAACAGTGTCACAGATTTGTTCTGTGAATGCCAGGGCAACTGTAAATGGCTGGTATCCAGCTTGAGCACACTTCTCCAGGTAAGTATCATAGTACCCCTTTCCCCTGCCAAGACGAGCTCCAGCCTTAGTAAAGCCCAGCCCCGGCATCACCACTACATCCAGACCACCTGGCAATGAAAGACATTTTTAGACATTCATCAACACATGATATATAATTTTTAAGGTACAAAAAAACTCATCAACTTAACCCTGGTACAGTTGAAATGAAATCCTCAGGGAAATTCAAAATACAAATTAACTGTTTTCAAAATAAGACCAGTTTAACTACACTGACCTGAGATGGGCAATATATCAAATAGTCATTACCTGCATAACATTATACAAGCCTTTACATCAGTATATAAGGGCCTAAATAAGAACATACCTTAGAACGTTTACTTTTTATCAGGGGTAACATTTTTAAAAGAATTAATAATATTTTTTTATTTGAAATATACAGGAAAACCTAAATACCAATACATAGTCATCAACACAACCCTAATATTTATCAAACATAACCCTTACACTGACATGTAAGTAGACGCCAGCCATACGTCACCTATATCTCAGTAGAACTATAGACAACCTATTTCCCATTTGCTTGTTAGTCTCAAGAAGTACCTGTATTAAGAGCATCCTCCCTTAAATCATCATCAGCAGGTTGTTTTATCTTCCACTTTGTCATAGGAAAATTTTCATAATCTTCAAAGGACTCAAGTTTCACCATTTTCATGACCGGACCAATATACTGGGGAACAAAACACTCTTTCTTCAAGTCAAGAATTGATTTCAACAGAGACACAGTCTTCACCTCATCAGACATATTCAAGTATAGACAGACACGCTGACTGTTCTGGATTTGTGGTAACTTCAACAGCTGTCAAAAAAGTGTAAAATCTTTACAATTATTATACAAACAAAACAGTTTGAAGGACTGACACATGACATGGCCACATCACAAACAGCTTAAACATTACAATTCAACATGACAATTTCTACACTGTTTGAAGTGTTTACTTACCAATCTCACAATATAAATTACATGTGTACCTTTGAAATAATAAATTTTTCACATCATCTTGATAAGAGTGTTCACAGTGTAACGTGAGACTTTCTTCTATCAATAAATATTAGATGCACTACAATTATTTGATCAATACAGACCTATCTTTTTACTATATATACATTTCACAAGTGAAATGATACCAGAAGGAACACCATAACAAATGTTCTAAGGGAGATAACCTACTTCAGGTTACTAAAATATTATTAGTTGCTCAGTAGTAAATACACATTGTGGTGTTACACAGTGCCAAACAGTTTAGAATTCTAGATACTATTTTGAAAGAGCTTTGTCACCTTTTCTACGACAATCTTTGACTGTTTTTCCTTCTCTTGCTCACTCAACATGGCTACCCTCTTCTTGATCTCCTTTCGGAGGACATTCTTTGCACTGCGAATGGCTGCAGAAGCAGACATAGTGGTTCCTCGAAGGAATGATACTGGCTATACAGCTATTGACTCATCATTCAAGTTGGTTGTACCCACTGACTTAGCATCTAGTCTGTCATTGTTTTCTAGAAACACATTAGTAAAACATAAATAACATTAGTGTGAACAACATTTAAGATAAATTCAATATTTCAGTTTTCAACCTCAGGAAGTTTGAATATCATAAATCATTTCTCAAAGAAAAGAATGCAAAATATATATATCATCTCACCTGAATGATTTTTCTTTGATTTTTTTTTTTCATTAATTCATTGAGTTGAACTTTAAGTAACACATTCCAAAGATATTTACTACAATAATAATCAGCATTATTTTTATTTTGGAATTATTCATATTACACATGTACCAATGTCCATACATATAAATCTACAAGGAAGATTTTGCTGATAAAAAAGATAACGTCTAACCATGTTTTTAAGTTTTCAACAATGTATCACATCATACATAAGTTACTTACATCTTTAATTGGAAAATAGCTTTCCATTTGATTTATACATGTATTATTGTAAACATTGGTTATAGAGGTCATTATTTATTTCAGTGCCTTCGCTAAGATTCAAACCTGGAACCTCTAGTTAACATTGGTCCTTATACACGAACTCAAGTATAATACATAGCGTTATTTTCACATGCATTGCTGTAACTCTGGTGGCCAAGCATGCAATCATGTAAAACTACTAGCTGCTGGAGAGATCATCTCTCTACAAGTATACACGTCATTTTATGGCACATGAATCTACATGTAAAGGATAGATGACATTGTTTCGAATAACAAACTTCATTTTAATAATACTGGCTGAAAAAGCATCTGTATATCAGCTTATGAAATAGGGGTGGCTGGAGGGCAAGATTGTCGCCCCATGGTTGTGCTTTTCTATTATGTATTGGTTTCAATGAAAGTTATAGAGCACAAAAGACTGTTAAAAGCTTACATGGTGAATACTTATACATATGCAAAGTCTTTAAATCCGTTATATGTCTAAGTATATTTATAATCTCGTCTAATTGCTAAACATGACATAATTATTCATTCACAATAAAAGTGAGATATATGCAGGGTATAAATGTATCTTAGTCATCTCATCCGTCCTTTGTTCCAACAAAGACAAAAAATACGAGAAATAAATTAAACGTATGATCCGATCACTGAACAACTACTTACAATAGCCATCAATGCTGAGAACACCTGACAGGAAGCAGTCATAGTTATCCGCCCTTTGTTACGTGTGTGTTTTGCCATGCACTTCCGGTAATGAGACTGTCGTTTGACAGGTGCAGGGTAGTCCAAACATCTTAAAGGCTCTGTTTGTTCGTTTTTTCTTCCTTGAAAATTGACAACGAATGATCAGAAAAGTTGAGGATTAAACATGTTATAGGTTTATATGTATAGATGAACCTAATAACAACGTAAAAACCTGGTTATGAGCAACGGGCATTTGCGACCCTCCTCCCGTGGGGGATTGTTTGGGAAGAAAAACGAAGATTATGTTTACAGTGGTGCCCAGGTCCAGAATGTCAAAAAGAACCGAGTTTACGTTTTCGGAGATGCCGATGTGGCAGATGATGAGGTCGTTGAGTTTGAAATGGAGATGCGATCGAGAAAAGCACCAAGGGTTGTCGACCCAAAGGAAAAAGAGCCCATTTACTTTGAAAGGGAAATCACAGAGGGAGACAGTTTACGGAGCTTAGCACTTCAGTACGGATGTCCAGTACGTATTTGTTTAATATCGTATACCTTTCAAACATACTTAAGTAATTAGCTGAGAAATTGAAACCATCTTTAACCCTATGTTCGAGCTGCACTAATCTGTTCCTTTGATAGACTTATGATATATAAGTAATACGGACTCTTACTCTTTCAAAGAGCGTTTATCTTCGCTCTGTATTGTTAAAGAGAATCCTGAAAACTGAAACTTTGTTGAATATATATTTTAACATCGGTTTGACTGGTTTTTATCTTGTTCCATCAGCTTTTCACTAAGAGCGAGTGTAAGGTAGCTAGAGTAACCCTATACAGACAGTTTCATATATCAGTATGCAAAGGTTGTGAATGTGTTCAACATTCATCAATAATCTTTCAGATGTTTTGAAAATGTTTTCAAAAAAAAATCTTCTTTAATTTCAGGTCTCGGAATTGAAAAGAATCAACAACTTTATACAAGACCAAGATTTCTATGGTTATAAGGTAGTAAAGGTGCCTATGAAAAGGCATTCCTTTCTTACAGAACATATCGAAAAAGAGAAAGAGGAACAGGCAAGGCAGCAGTCAAGTACGGCCCTGAGCAATGGTATGACAGTCGTGGATGAAACATGTGAAAGCAGCCATGACTTAATGGAAAACACTGACAATGATTCTATATGTGACATGAGTGATCCGGAAACTCAAAATTTGATAATTCGAACATTAAGTATAAGTGATGCACTCAATAGTCAGTCTCGAGATGCTCAAAAGTTTCTAGATAACATGGACAAGGATTTGTCAAAAATAAGACAGGCAAACGACAGAACAAATCGTAGATCACTTGATGAAGTTGTGTCTATGTTAACTAATAGAACAATCAGACCTTTTCCAAAAAATAGGAACAAGACAGATGGTGCCAACTGGGGAATGTCCTGGAAGTCACTGGTCATTGGTCTTATTGCCTTAGCAGTTATATGTCCTGTGATATTCTTTCTTTATGTTAGATATTCTTAACAATACCTAAACATAAGTGCTGAGTTGCAGTCGTACCAAATAAGTGTTATATAAAGGCTATTAACTGCTAGAGTACACATATTCAATATTTGCCAGACAGATTCTGTGATTAACTTATTTGTGATGAAATATGTTGGAAGAAAGTAATGAATTGAGACAGTGGTAAAACAGGCTTTCATTGTGATGATGTACAAGGGAAATAAATCTAAACATTCTTTAATGTTATTATATGGAGTTCTTATAGAAAAGACAAACGTCCAATCAACAGTTCTCTTGTCTGTAAAAATGAGTATGTTACAAAGCGCTTGAAGTAATGATGTATAGTTCAAGAATTCTATCTATACTAACAGTCTGTATTGACTGTATAACATATTAGTGGATTATACTTTAAAGACGAAAAAGTCCTAACACTAATGGATAACAGGGAATAGTAACAGTATTGATGTACTTATGTGTTCTTAATTCAAAGCTCTTAGAAATTTAGGATGTAGAAAATAATGAAATTAGGTGAATTTGTGATAAACTGAGGGAAGAATCATTTGTGTTTTGGTGGATATGCTAATTCTTCTTTACTTCTGCAATGCATTTAAGTGTATAGAAGTATGAACAAGTTGAAGTGATCAAAGATTATTAGAAGTTGGAGTTTACTTGAAGATACCTACCAGTATATACAAAAAAACATCTTCTGAATGTCGGAATTCAACTTGCAGTTTGCATGAAAACACCTACTAGTATAATTCAACTGAGCGAAGATGGATGTTTACAAAGGTTAAGTGATTTTCATGAGTATTATCAGAGGAGAGATTACAAATAATTTCTGACTTTAACTATGATAATTCTATCCATCATTTTTCACCTTTTTAATCTATGATGAAATACCACAAAAGTATTTTGCCACTGAATGATATCCAGAACAATATCATCAGAAAGTCTCAAAGATAGACAGATTTTGAAGGAGAACTCGCCAAACTGTGCTCATATGCAAGACAAATACATGTATAAAGGAACTTGATATACAATATGTTTACATAGCTGAGAACAGTTTCTTAAAGATAAATTTTTTCTGAGAGTTTGATCAGATGTCCTCAAAAAGATATCTCGGGGACATTGATACCATTTACATTTTGGTGACATCAGTGTTTATTTAAGTAGAATGTACATCACATGTTTTGAGGGAGCAATTTATTAAGAATATATCGACCACAGTAAGATTTCTATATGGACTCTCCCTTTGAAAACCATCACAAATACTATATCAAAGGTCAGTGGAAAGTGGTTTTAAAATAATACAACAGTTTGATGCATGTGACTAGGTGTATAGAATATGTACATGTGACTGGGGTACAGGTACTTGTAAGTAATTTTAGAACTACATATGTGAATATGAATGTGTGAAAACAAGTGAATTTGTACATGGGAATACTGAATGCCAGGATTGTGGTTATACATACAATGTATGTTGTCTTATATGTGTGAGAATATAATGTAAGGTAAATTGTTGATTTGTTTGTTTATCATGTTTGCTGATAATATGAAAAAGTTTTTGTTTTCTTATGAATGTATGTGTATAGTAATACTGATCTTGTTACATGTACATTTTATCAATATTAATTAATACAAAAATTAACTGCAGTAGACACATTATAAGTGATAGTGCTTATTCTAATGATATTTATACATTATTGGGTTAGGATTATGACAAAGAGACAGTTTTACATTGGGTAATGAATGTATTGACATCATCAAGTGAAAAACCGCAAAGATATACATTGGCAGTTAGTAAAAACCTATAGACACATAGTACTACTAATTACCTGTCTGGTTTAAAAACATGAGTGACAGAATATGCAAATGAATCCTCCCATACTCCCATCCCTCATTCCTCCAACCCACTTATTTTATTTGATGATATGATGATAGAAGACGGAAGAAATAGGAAATACAGGCAAGTAGTACAGTCCTTGTTATTTATTTACCATATAGTATATGATCCTGGAGTACCAGTTCTGTTGTAGTATGTCTTTATAAAGATTTCGATCATTCCATATCACATATACACATATATATATATTGATCATAGCTTCAGAGGTACAACGACACAGTCATAATTAACTGACAGTATGATTATTACAATCCTAGTATATTGTTATCTGCCATTAACATTGAATTTAGTGATCATGTATTTTTCCACTGTATTAACATAAATCTTTTAACACCCATTATAAATGCAGGATATGTTTGCAAATATCAATCCATTTGAATTACAGATATTATTCAAGCTTTAATGATATAGAGACACTTGTCAAATTTTAGAATTACACACGAGTATATAGTGACCAAATGTTGTCATTGAAAATATATCAGTTTATTGATTATAAAGTCACTCATTTCTGGGTCTTATGTAGTGCTATAAAGATACAGGAAGAAAATCAACATAGGCAGATCATTAGTAGATCATAGCAGGTGTGAAGACATGGGTATTTTCTCAACTTGTTGGTTTTATACTGTTAACACATTCAAAGTTTTGATGCGTTTCAATATTACCTGTACCTGTTGTGTCGGATATAAAATGTAGGATGTATAGGATTCTGTACATCACTTTTGAAATTTTTTTTTACCATATTCTGCAGTTGGAAAGTCACATTTAAGGAAAGCTAAAGCTAACTAGTTATAGTTATAAATTAAAGTCATGAGTATGGCATGTCTACAGCATTATGTAGTACAGTTACTGTATATATATTGCTAGTTGAATGAAGGCATGTTGGTCTGTTTTAGGACATACAATGATTTGCTATGCAATATGATATGTCAACATTCACCTTGAAGAACTAGAGAGTTTTTCTTCTTCCAAATTTTCATTTATTGGTTTATAGATTAAGACATGATGCCCAGTAATTTGAATATGGTTGTAAATTTATGCTTAGATGGTATTGGAAGATTACACATTATCACTTTAATACTAACTCCCTTTTCTGTCAAAACTATATCCATTAGATGGTTATGCATGTATTCTTGATTACATTGAAATTAACCTTAAAATATCTTTTCTTCCTTTGTTCAAATGACATACATATGATAGGTTGAAAAAAACACCTTTTATTACAAAGGTTTCATGAGTTTTACCTTAATGATAGTTTAATTAATTTTTTTTGTTTTACAAAATATAGCTTTAATTGGTTTTCACAAGGATTCTGACCATATTCACCAAAGCAACACTATCATTATTAGTGCTAAAAGATGTTATCTTTTGTTTGTTTCAGCTGGGTATAGCTGTATGTGTACTTAATAGCAAATTATTTGGTTACTGCGATGGAAATATCTGGAGATTATTTTTTATAACTCTTTTAAGCTGAATTGCAGAGTAGAAGTAGACATAAAAAGATCCATAGATGTATTTCTTGGTTTTATAGATCAATTTTAGCGTTCGGTGACAAACAGACAAATATTCAGTATGCTGTGATCCTGATACAATGTAGTTTGAGTTCAGTGATCCATGAAGGGTAAGTACATGTTCTGCATATAACAATTCACAGAACGTTGTTCTGTGTTCAAGGATCACAGACACAAATCCTTTTTTCAACATTTCACAGACAACTGTTTCATGTTCAGTGATTCAAAATACAAGTTTTGTTTACAATGACTTATAAATGTATCTCAGTTGAGTAAGCAAAAATGTTTTGTATGTGGTGTTTGAACTCTTTATTTTTTTTTTCAATTTTTTCAATTTTTTCTTTTGTTTGTGTTTATTTTTTTTTTTTCATTCATCAGTTGGTAAATTTATAACTTTTATTATCGTTTTGTGATAATTTAGTTTTTCAGCATTATCATTTCTGTTTAAATAGAAAAAAATCAGATAAAACAGAACACAACAAAACAAGACCACCAGTAATTACTTTCATGATCTCCATTTCAGCCTTATGTTAACATTATGTTTATGACTATTTCATTCAATGTAATCCAGAGTGTGCAAACATTAAAGGATGAAAACTATGTAGTTGATGATTGTTCCCACTTTAGATGGGTTCTTTTGCTAATACCTGTTTTTCTCTGTCTAAGCTTTTCTATTGCCCATTGAAATGCTGATTTAGGCAGGGTCAAATGTAAGTCATAGAAAACAATGTCAAAATTTATATCTGTCGGGTTGATGAGAGATTTTAGTGTAACAGAATTGTCAAAAAGGTCATGATTGTAACAAATTAACATTATTTTTGTATAAAATCAATATTATATGATTGATCAACTAAGTTATTGTGTAAATATGTTGTTATTTACTCAGTGCTTTTTTGTGTGTAAAGATGCTTGTAATGATAAAAAATGTACTTCAAATTTACTCAATGCATTCGAATTTTCAAGTATTATCAATTTTTAACAAAATAGCACAATAATTAACTAGTATTGTGTTCATCAACAATAATTCAGCAATATTGAGAAACTGCAAGTAGAGCTACTACAAAGTGTAATGCTCACAGCATTAAAAAAAGGACTAAAGTGAGATCGCCGCTGGGATATGTACACAGTACAGTAACTTGTAAGGAACATGAGAGAATGTATTATGAAAGAGAATAGTGGGTATATTTTATGTGGGGATGTGCAAAATTGGGAAATTTGTAAGGGAAAGTTAATGTTGAAATGTGAGATTCAATTTATTTAGCAATTTTATTGTACGAAAATAAGTATAAATACAAATGATTATAGAACATCCAGAACTTATATTAACCCTCTCTGTGAAATTTGAGATCGTGGAATATGGAATGAAAATATTTCTTTTCTTTTATGCAGAATATTTGAAGAACGATGTGTAACAGTACTTAAGGGAATATACACTTTTGATGTGGTAATCATGTTTGGGAATTATTGCGATTGTTGGATTTGTAATGGAAAAATACAGTCATGTGCAGTGAACACATGATTATTGTACGAGTTTGGAAAATGCTATTTTTAAGTACGGATTTTGTGAAAATAATGTGTATGTGGCGTATACCTTTTTTTGTGTAGGAATGTATGAAATTGTTGAACATTTTTGAAGGTTATTTATTGTGAATGATACATATACCAAAAGTATTATTTTTCTGGTAGGTGGTTTTAATTATCATGAATAAATCGAATAAAATTTTGCAGGTCAAAATGCTACTTTGATCACTATTAAGAGTGTTATTTCTCTTCCATTTTCATTTTGGATTATGTTTGTCATTAAGGAGTTGGTATAGGAAAATCATATTTGTATTAAACATCATGTGTTGTTTGTGAATATAATATTAGAAGTCACCCGAGATCATTTATCTTGTGAAGATAATTAAAATGTGAAATTGTTGACCAATCATGTGTTGTGGTGATTTACTTGGATGTCATTTTGACAAACACCATAAAAAAGTCTTGAACAAGATGCACTTTATTACCAATTTGTAAGAAAACAAGATGATGATGCTGAGTGATATTGTCCCTGTGCCCTGCTGTTTAGACATACTATCACAAACACACACCTATATATATGTTGATACAGTAATGGGTATTTCCACCTAATTCTACCACTGTTACTGATGTTTTTAAGGAGATCACCGTTGTGTTGCTTGGCATCATTCCCAGATAAAAACTGAACTTTGTGATTCAGCCTATCTATTTCTCATCTAGTAATCCATTTTATCTAAATGGTGTCAGATAACAAAGCAATCATCACTACTCTAGTAAACCACTCTATCTAACTTGTCTCATAGTCCAGTCATCACCTCTACTCTAGTAAAAAACTGTCTCTAACTTGTGTCTCATAGTCCAGTCACCACCTACACTCTAGTAAACCACTCTATCTAACTTGTCTCATAGTCCAGTCATCACATCTACTCTAGTAAAAAACTGTCTCTGACTTGTGTCTCATAGTCCAGTCATCTCCTCTACTCTAGCAAACCACTGTATCTAACTAGTGTCTCATAGTCCAGTCATCACCTCTACTCTAGTAAACCACTGTATCTAACTTGTGTCTCATAGTCCAGTCATCACCTCTACTCTAGTAAACCACTGTATCTAACTAGTGTCTCATAGTCCAGTCATCCCCTCTACTCTAGTAAACCACTGTATCTAACTAGTGTCTCATAGTCCAGTCATCACCTCTACTCTAGTAAACCACCGTATCTAACTTGTGTCTAATAGTCCAGTCATCATCTCCTCTCTAGTAAACCACTGTATCTAACTTGTGTCTCATAGTCCAGTCATCACCTCTACTCTAGTAAACCACTGTCTCTAACTTGTGTCTCATAGTCCAGTCATCACCTCTTCTCTAGTAAACCACTGTATCTAACTTGTGTCTCATAGTCCAGTCATCACCTCTACTCTAGTAAACCACTGTCTCTAACTTGTGTCTCATAGTCCAGTCATCACCTCTTCTCTAGTAAACCACTGTATCTAACTTGTGTCTCATAGTCCAGTCATCACCTCTACTAACTTGTGTCTCATAGTCCAGTCATCATCTCCTCTCTAGTAAACCACTGTATCTAACTTGTGTCTCATAGTCCAGTCATCCCCTCTACTCTAGTAAACCACTGTATCTAACTTGTGTCTCATAGTCCAGTCATCACCTCTACTAGAGTAAACCACTGTATCTAACTTGTGTCTCATAGTCCAGTCATCATCTCCTCTCTAGTAAACCACTGTATCTAACTTGTGTCTCATAGTCCAGTCATCACCTCTACTCTAGTAAACCACTGTATCTAACTTGTGTCTCATAGTCCAGTCATCATCTCCACTCTAGTAAACCACTGTATCTAACTTGTGTCTCATAGTCCAGTATTCTCCTCTACTCTAGTAAACTGCTGTATCTAACTTGTGTCTCATAGTCCAGTCATCACCTCTACTCTAGTAAACCACTGTATCTAACTTGTGACTCATAGTCCAGTCATCACCTCTACTCTAGTAAACCACTGTATCTAACTTGTGTCTCATAGTCCAGTCATCATCTCTACTCTAGTAAACCACTGTATCTAACTTGTGTCTCATAGTCCAGTATTCTCCTCTACTCTAGTAAACTGCTGTATCTAACTTGTGTCTCATAGTCCAGTCATCACCTCTACTCTAGTAAACCACTGTATCTAACTTGTGACTCATAGTCCAGTCATCACCTCTACTCTAGTAAACCACTGTATCTAACTTGTGTCTCATAGTCCAGTCATCACCTCTACTCTAGTAAACCACTGTATCTAACTTGTGACTCATAGTCCAGTCATCACCTCTTCTCTAGTAACCCACTGTATTTAACTTTTGTATTCTTGATGTACAATTTGTTTTGATAAAAAAACAAGGTAACAATATGAAGTTTTTGAAAACAGAATTTATCATTCAAATCATTATAAACATCTGCTGATGACACAACAATACTTATAACCTTGTGTTGGTTTGTACTATTAACATGACATAAACAAATTTATATACACGGATACAAGCACCATGAGTTATGCATCCTTCGCTGTACCATGATAAGTAGAAAACTTGTTGAAGTCATGTGTATGGATGCTTTACTAACCTAAGTATATGTATAAAATACCAGGATTTATAAACCAGAAGACTACAGAGATTTGTCAATGAAATCAGACACTTCTTATTGATGTGAGATGCTTGAGATGCTCAAATTAAACATGTACTTTAATCTGGAATGTCATTTGAGAGCTCATCTGTGATTTCATCACTTGTCTGGAATTTTCAAATGAACTTGACCAACCTCATTTGTTACACATACAATGTACTACATATTCAAAAATACATAATACGACCCTGATCATTGTCAGTGTATTGTCTTTCAGTAGATTCCTACGGATATAAATTGAGATCCAATAACAGATTTCCGCTGTGTATTAGTGGATTAAATTACTATCTACCTAAAAGACTGTCTTTAATGGTGCCTTAATTTCATTTCATTTCAAATATAATTCTATTTTTATCAACATGATGGAATTAATGTTGATAACACTGGTTATTTTTTTATTGCGTAAAAAATCCACACAGTCGAAGTCCAAACTTGTAGAAGTAGGTAAACACTGGTCGTCAGTACACAGGTCCCTCATCAGCGTCATCATCCCCATCATTGTAATCCTCACCATTGTCGAAATAGGACAGGAGGTAATCAGTTTCCTAGATACATAAACAGAACAATGAAAACACATTTAGCAAAAGGATTGATGATCTGAATAGAAAGCACCAAAAATAATCATCGAGTAAAACAATCTCTACTCTGACTATTGGGAGGGGAGGTAGGGATGAGGACTGAATGTGACACAGATTATTGGGTGTGGCAGGGGGGAGGGGTGTGGATTTGAAGGGTGTGTGGCAAAGAGTAAGGGGTGAGCATGAGGGGTGTGTGACAGACTGTGAGATGAGGAGAATGAGGCCAAGGGGTGAGTGCAATACAGAATGATTGGTGGCGAGAAGGGAGTGAAGGATGTGTGACACAGAGTGTGAGGTGAGGAGGATAGTAAGGGATCAGTGTGACACTGACTGAGGAGTAGGAAGAAGGAGGTGAGGGGTGTGTGACAGACCATGTGTTGGAGAGAAGGGGTGATGAGTGTGTCACTATGGTACAGAGTATCGGGTGGGAATGAGAGATGAGAGATGTGTATAACACAGACCACAGCTCACACATTTTTTGATTATCTAACAGATCATAAACAGGTCTTGAGTGGGATCTATAATGTTCCTGTGCTTTTTACTTAAATAGTATAGGATAGTTGAGGTTAAAGACATTGTGTTTTTGACAATTTGATATTGACATTGTTGTGGTATAGACATCATTGTGATGTAGCCATTACTGCAATGTTACCATTATTGTGGTGTTCTCACTTTTGTGATGTTGACATTGATGTGATTGTAAACCTAGTAATTTTTAACATAAGTGTCTGGCTTCTCTAGTCACAGTGAGAATAGATAAGAACTGGGAAATACAAACAGTCTAACAATGTTACCGGCAACCATGACTTACCATCTGGGTTACAAAATTTAAAGATTTTCTTTCCTGACAACCTCACAAAAAAACTGTCCCATCAAAATCTGAGATACACACCTCTTCTAACTCATCTTCTTCATAAACCTCTTCTTCTACATCTTCATCTCCCTCGTTTTTGTTTTCATCTTCATTTTCATCTGTCTCACTTTCTTCTCCCTTTTCTTCTCTTTTCTCTAATTCCTGTAAAAAGTTAAATGCTGAGAACTATGCAAGGAGCAAGCTGGCTTAACAGATAATGAATCGTTTACCATTAATTTTTTTTTTTATAAAACATAGATATTTTGATGCAAGTATTATGCATGTAGCACTTATCATTCCCAAAATATGGACTGTACAATTCTTCTTTACCAAAATCTTTTTTTTTTAAATCCATCGTAGTTTAATTGAATAATTGCATGATTTAAGAAGACAGTGTGTATTATAATGTAACTTACACGTGAGGCATGCACAGGGATATGTAACTATATCTAAGCATGCACAGGGATATGTAACTATATCTAAACATACAAAAGAACTTGTGCTGATACACCTGACAAATCATTATGTGTCAGTACCCTGTGATACCAAATTCAGACAGATTGTACAAAAGCAAAGTACAAACAGCAAAACCTTTCCATAAAAAGAACACCAATCCTTTATCTGAAGCTCAATTCTTGCATTTGTGCAGTTTTTGGTAAACAATATTCTATCCAATTCCACTTTCTACAAAAACATATCATTGAATGCATAAGCTCAGGATCAAATCCAAGGGAAACAACTCCCTTTGAGACGCATGAGATTTCTCACCTCCAGAGTTTTACGAACATCACCAGTGTCTACTTTTCGCTTCTTCTTGGGTATATTAGGTTTCAATGTTAACCCAACTTTCCTGGTTTTCTTGCAGGTTATTTTCAACTCTGCTGGGAATCTTCTCCAATCTCAATTTACAAGAAAAGTATAATATAGGACTAAATGTCATACTGAAAATATATTACTGAATTGTGCTGTACAATAAATAAACATTTTAATTATGCTCAACATCATCAGGTTACCATGGTAACAAAGTTACTCTTATTAGCTTAAAAAGCTATAAACATTCAGAACTTGACATCAACAAAATACTTCAAGTAATTGGGATAAAATGTATGATATATTTAGAGTTTGTAATAAATGACAAAAAAAAAAAAAAAAATAAAACAATGTGCTGAAGTTGCAAATTAGAAGGGGCCATTAAGATTCTTTTCAATAATCTTAAAACTATTTTCTGCAATTACAGTAACTCAAATTCACTATCTAACTAAGTCAATTATGCTTGTTTTGGTGATAAAACAATAATTTTATGACATTTATTTCCACCTTTCAGTTACTAAACAAATAAGACATCAGAAGAGAAATCTGAACTTGGACAACACAATTTCTGTAGCATAGTACCTGGTTCCCATTTACCCTCTGAGTCATTATGTAGCTGATATTTATCAGAGTATCTGTCTATGTCCTTTCGGTTTGTGGATGTCTGAAGATAATATTGTGATCTCTTCATTACTCCACGGAACTCCTGTTTCAAGGCCAACATGTAATCATATTCTTCTCCCTGTAGTAGTGGTACAGGCTTGAAGTCTGTTGGCTGAAACATATCATTATATTCTCAAGTGAAAATGGATGCCAATGTAGGGATAAAAAATGTCAACAACAATAAATGCATGTCCTGCAAGCTTGTACAGTAGACTCTTCATAAACCAAATACTATCTGGACCAGATCCACATTATGAGGCTGGTTGTAGAGAGTGCAAAATTGTTTCTGCCATAAAGTAATATCTAAATAAAAACTCAGGAGTCTTGAATGTCTTATGATGAAATAGTAGATCTACATTCACTTTACAATGGAATAATTATAGGAGAATATTAGATCCATTCATTTCCTTTTCACATTGCTGACTATCATATTTAGGACACTTACTCATTTAGGACACTTACTTGTTAAATGTGTGAATGTCTTTTGAATTAGGATTTCCTTTTGTTTGTATTGTGTACCTGTATGTATATCTTGAACATGTATTTGAAGAACTCTCATTGTTTGTGTGCTAGATGTGGATGGTATATGTGACTTGTTTAGAAGTTTCACAAATATTTTGAATTATGAATTTAGGATTAGATTGTCCAAATTATTGACATTCTATCATCTTTTTTAACAGTGATCTTGAGTTGATGAAAAGTTTGGATCAAAATTATTTGCTTAGGTTATGGTAAAACTTGATGATACAGGTTTGGTTTAGTGTAAACATAGTGCATAATAATGGTGATACTAGGGAACAATATATGCTCATCAACACCAAAGAAATATATGGGAATGGAAAAAATGAGTCAAAATGTTTAGAGGGAAAACAGTGCAATAAATCTAAAATGATAGATGAGAGATGGATGGAAAACAAAATCATTCTGTGAATTAGTGTCCAAAAATTACAGTGATCGAAATCAAACTTGTATGCGCTATCATGGTAATGAATCTTCCAATGAAGGTTGAAAATTTCTTTTGATATTGACGTTTTACTTAAACTGATGTAAAAACATTAAAAAAAATCAGTATGTACATCTTCTGTGTTAAATTGCTCTCGAGTTCAGCCAGTGTCTAGTGTGAAGAAATAAGCTTGCCAGTGTGTCAAATGAAGAAAAAAAAAGACTGGATATTACTATCCAGCTGTCGCTATAATCTGCTTACAGGATATAAAGGAGGAGGTTGCAAAATTGGACCAGGTAACGCCTCCCCTCGGCCGAAACCTAGCGCTTCCACGTTAAAGGAAACATTTCTTCCTCGTCCTCTGCCTCTTCCAGCCATTGTTCTCCATAAAGTCTTAAAGTTTCGATGTATTTACATACTAAAATGGTTAAACAGATAGAGCGATTGCACGCGTAAACGTCCATACTTGGGCGCCGCCATATTGGAAAGGGACAAATCGTTTTAAACTTTTTTAAGATATTAATCAATCGATTTTCTAATCCAGCTCGTATATAAGATGATAGGATATTCATACAAAGATTGATTGTTTGTGCTTTATCCGTAATTTTGATACCATCCACACAAATAATGGACATTTAATATTTATAAGTATCCAAACACGTATCCCTCCCCAATTTTGACCTTCACCTTTGAACAATTGTTGCCATCGGGACACCTCGACATTAGTGTTCCGATGGCGAATTAACTTGCCTGTCGACTTTATTTTGAATGTTTTACAGATGACAGACGTATGTATACTATAACAAGAAATTAAGTCATAGATAAGCAATCACAAGCTTCACGTCCCAGAGGAAGTTGTAGACGTTTTTTTTATGATTTTATGTTAAACCCAAAACTGCTTCTTATGATAATAGTTTCAATAATCTTATTGTGATGAGTGACATTCTCTCTTCCTCAATGGTTGTCAAGCTCATTTCCATAATATATATATATCGTCTAGACATCGGTTTCGGACCGTTATATATTTTGGAACGGCCAGTTTGTCGAACCATATTACTCGAACCTCGACCTCGCACCTGGATAGTTTTGGTTGCTGTAACATGTTTGGCTTTCAGAACTTAGATTTTCTACAGGTATTCTGGTTCCATCCCACAATACAACCTCCCACGTGTTTCCATACGGACCAACGAGAGTGGTTAATATAAGCTGGAATAACTTTCAAATGTTGTAAAATAAATAAAGTTTGTTTATTTTTACATATGGGATGAAAAGGGAAGTGGCTCTGTCTAATCTCAGTTTTAAGTAATCACCTTCTGGGATATCAGAGCTTTGCTGATATGTAGGCAGCACTCTAGAGCTTCAGTCTTGCAATAATATTATAAGAATATTATTTGACATAATTATGATAATAAATTTTGGTGTTTATGCTTCAGTGTGTACATTATTGCTATATGAATAGTCAGAACACCACCTGTCAATACACCTATCAACTAGTTTTGCATGGTCCCTATTGACCCATGTGATTCGGGTAATCAATCAATCGTGCTGCATATCTTCATACTAATTTGCAAAGTATATGTGCAATAACAGGCATCTGTCACAATTTTGGGAACTTTGCCGTCAAACCATTTGATAAGGATGGTAGGTCTATGGTGTAACCTATAAAACCTTATTTCATTGTCAATCCTGACTTCTGATCAATTATAAACCAATTGAAGTAGCAGCACTATCAGTATACTTGTACATTATTCTCAACCAAATGGTTCTTCTGTTTTTTGTTTTTTTAGGATGGAAAAGTAAAGAACCAATAGATCGAGAGTCAAAGGGTAGAGTTTGTCAGAGAGGATGACATCAGTGGTCATACAAAAATTTGTTACACAGTCCAAAGGAAGCATCTGTTCTGGAACATTGTTAGAGAAGCAACATTTTCATATAGTCATTTCAAGATGTTTTGGAGGAACAAGCAGTTTATTTTACTCCAAAAAACATTCAAAAGGAAAACCCAAAGTTCATCGATCCATGCTGGATCAAAGTTTTGAATATATGGAACATGAAAGTCAAATGTATAAAGGTAATTTTTATGGTTTTTACACAGACTAATTGCCTTAGTATCTATATATAACAATCTTTTACATATCCACAGATTAGGCTAAACAAAAACAGACATGTCTACAGTCTTTACACTTGAACAGGGAAGTATATGTTTAACAGTTCCTTTCATTGCCATTGTGAATTCTGATTAAGTTAAATGATTTTATTGAATCTGACAGCATTTACATTTCATCATTTTAAAAGATTATTATAACAGAAAACAGAACACTTTAACCTTACCTCCATAGTGCTTTAATTAAGTGTCGGGTTTCTGTGATCTATCCTGTATTAAGTGCTAAGGTAAATTGTTAACAAACATTTTACTATTAAACATTTAGCAATTTACTAATTACTTTTTCCTGTCATAGTAATGATTGGTTGGGTAGATGATAAGATACCTAAAATACATTAGTTACCAAACATAAGGTTTTGAGCTGTTAGAAAAGTCTTATAGATTTATTATTCAGCACAAGGTGATACACTCAATGATATCAGTAAACAATTTCATGTTGATGAGTTTGATGTCATTTACTTAATCATTGAATGAAAAATTAAATGTTTTAATTACTCTTTGTTAAATACCAACTACAGATGCTACATTTCCATAGAGTACTGAACTACCTGTGAATTTTAATGTATCTTTCATAAAGAATTTAACTGACTGCTTTAAGCATATTGTGTTTTCTTATCCTGAGTAATTTTTACATTTGATTCTTTTGACAGGTGGTACAAATATAATAAAGTACCGTGATGTGCCCAGTCCTAAACAGGTACATGTATTTATGTATACTGATAATGTAAGGATTATTTAGATGTTTAGTCCTAAACAGGTAGATGTATTGATGTATACTGATAATTGCAGTGAAGATGGTTAAGATGCGAAGTCCTGAACAGGTATAACCCACGGTGTACTAAACCGATCTCCCTTCACAGATAATCCATGATGTATTAAACCAGGACCTCTCTACAGATAACCCACAGTGTACTAAAATAGGTCCCTCTACAGATACTCCAGGGTTTACCGAACCAGGGTCCCAATACAGAAAGTCTACAGATAGTTTTTGTTGTGATCAAGCTCAAGCCCAATCTAAGATATGGGTGGTCCCTTACATATTGTAGCATATATGTGTAACATCTTAATGAGTCATGTTGCCACATTAATCATAGAGTACATTTTTTTTTGGTTTTAGATTTTTCGGTTCCTTCAAGAACGTGTTATTGGGCAAGAAAGAGCCAAAAGAGTTCTCTCTTCTGCTATCTACTACCATTACAGGAGAATTCAACATAACGAGCAGATAAAAGAAAAGCCAATTTTGCATCGCTCCATTTCAAGTGCGGAACGGGCATCTACTCAGGATTTTGTTCGACAGAATCCTCATGATAACACTCTTGGATCAAATGCAGCCAAATGTGTGTCCTTACCTATATTGTTTATGTATTGGCAATACTGCATGTTACAGAGATCTTGTACCAAATCACTTTGTTGGTAGTTCCCACAGCAATTAGTAAATAATAAACAGCAATAATTTTAGCCACTGCCCCGCCTCACTAGGAAGATATAGTACATGTACTGTAATTACTGTATTTGCAGCCCCACCTCACTTTTTTTGCCACTATCATAGGATTGTCAGCTGTTCAAATTGCTATTAGTCTGTACACTGTTTATCATTCACCATCTGTCCATCACACTTTGTTGACTGTGTACTATAATCACTGTGATAGACACCCCATCACACTTTGTTGATGATGTACTATAATCACTGTGATAGACACCCCACCACACTTTGTTGACGATGTATTATAATCACTGTGATAGACACCCCACCACACTTTGTTGACGATGTACTATAATCACTGTGATAGACACCCCACCACACTTTGTTGACTGTGTACTATAATCACTGTGATAGACACCCCACCACACTTTGTTGACGATGTACTATAATCACTGTGATAGACACCCCACCACACTTTGTTGACGATGTACTATAATCACTGTGATAGACACCCCACCACACTTTGTTGACGATGTACTATAATCACTGTGATAGACACCCCACCACACTTTGTTGACGATGTACTATAATCACTGTGACAATATATTTGTTTAATGATAAAGCAGTCATTATTCAGTTTTTCAATTGATATTTCAGATAATCCGCACCAAAAACTTCTCACACAGACAGCCTATATCAACACTGTCATCCCAAATCATTTACAAGAACTTCTGGATGCAGACAATGCAAATTCTGTCGAGAAGAATATGGTTTTGGAAAAGAGTAACATCTTGCTTCTCGGACCTACTGGATCTGGTAGATATTTATCACTATCTAGTCTTTTAACATAGCTAGACAGGCATTGTCATAGACTGAGTCATGATAAATAGAATCATCTACTCTGCCTGGTGGTATATCAGCCTGAGTCATGATAAATAGAATCATCTACTCTGCCTGGTGGTATATCAGCCTGAGTCATGATAAATAGAATCATCTACTCTGCCTGGTGGTATATCAGCCTGAGTCATGATAAATAGAATCATCTACTCTGCCTGGTGGTATATCAGACTGAGTCATGATAAATAGAATCATCTACTCTGCCTGGTGGTATATCAGCCTGAGTCATGATAAATAGAATCATCTACTCTGCCTGGTGGTATATCATACTAAGTCATGATAATAGAATCTTATATTCTACTCAAGACTTAGTTGTAATGAATGGAAGTTTATACTCTACCCAGTGATATATAAGATTTTTGTCTAAATGCTTTTGTCATTTCAATAAAGTAAACTGATATTTAAACGATTAAATGTGACTTAATACTGGCCATTCGTACTTTTTTAATTATTTACTTCATAGATTTTGATATATTTCTGTCTTCTTGTGTGCCTGTAAATATTAGTTTGTACTATAACTAAATTACACATCAGTGATGATTGACATTGTTAGTACTTGATCTGAAGTATAGATGGAAAACTCTGTTTAGCATAACTTATGCCCCTGTGATTTATGCAGGTGGGTCAGCATATGGTGTTACTGTTGTCAATCTCTGTCCTGCCTCAACAAGTTTCATTCTGTATTCCAATGTATTAACAAAACAGATTTATTTTTGAAGGATTTTTATCACTAAATGCTGTGGGGAAAGTACCATAGATGAGTAAACGTTTCAGGGATCCAAGGTCAAGGTCACCTTGATCATTTATAGAAATCTGTTAAACAACACACTCACATCTGATAAAGATTTTACACTTTAGACATATACTAGCTCGTCCCAGGGTCCAGGAGAATCAGCAGACTTACTGGTCGATTATTAATATCAATTTTCAGGTAAAACTTTACTAGCTAATGCTGTGGCCGAGTTTCTGGATGTGCCATTTTATGTGGGAGACTGTACATCCCTGACAATATCAGGGTATGTAGGCGATGATGTGGAAACCCTGTTATCTGGTCTCCTCAGTAATGCTAATAATGATTTGGAGAGATGTCAGCAAGGTAAAGTATTGTTCCTTGACATTGGTCAAGGTCATGATAAGTTAAGGTCAGAGTGTCTTTTTGGATGATACCACGTGATTCAACAAATGATAATGTCTTCCTCTTAGGAATACAGCTGTGATGCTTGAAATCCATGATGTTTTCTGTAGCTTTAAGTCAACGATTCAAAATGTCCTATCTTATGTTGTACATTTTTCAGTTCTAATAATACATAGAGGATTTCAAAACTTGTAGAATCTCAAACTTGTGTCCTTGTATTTCATTTTGTTCCTTGACGCATGCATAGAAATATGAAATTATCCTGATATTTTACAGGAATAATTTTCTTAGATGAAATAGACAAACTGAAAAAAACATCATCCCTGAATTCAGACCGAGATGTTGGTGGAGAGGGAGTGCAACAGAGACTTTTGAAGATCCTGGAAGGTACAAAAGTCAGAGTTCCTGACAAGAGGTCGATGCCATCATCTTACAAAGAAATAGACACCACTAATATCCTGTTTGTGGGATCTGGAGCGTTCAATGGCCTTGACCAAATCATCCGCAACGACAGGGACAGAAAGGTTTAAAAAACAACAGAACTTTGCTATTTATATATGTAGATACATATCTAGCTAATTAACGGAAACCTTTGATCAAATATATGTCTGATTTTATAATTATCAAATTTTGTACTATGTACAGTTAGCTCTAGCGTTAGTGTTGTAAGAAATTTCAGATATGAACTTTTTGAAATCTCACCAGGTATTTGGCTTTGGGAAGCAGACTGAGGACCAGACAGATGCTGACAGTCTGATTGCTGAAGTTGAGCCAAAAGACATCATCAAATTTGGCATGATCCCAGAGTTTTGTGGTCGCATGCCTATTCTTGTACCATTCCATGGCCTTTCTACAGACATGCTGGTCAAAATCCTGACAGAGCCTAAAAATGCTGTAGCAAATCAGTTCATAGCTCAATTTAAGACAGAAAATGTAAGTACCTAAAGTATAAACCATACAAAGTTCGGGCTGTAAACTGACAATTTCTACTTTTCTTAATTTCAGTCAAATAGCATATATCAAACTATGTCATCATAATTACTCTTCCATATGTAATGAACCAGTTTGTCTTTATTTTATTTCTGTTATAAAGTTGTTTTTCCTACCTTAAATACATCTTACTACAGTATATTTGGGGATGGAGGAGGCATTTGATATATATAAATATGGCATACTTCACCCATCAACTACTGTGAAAATCTACGTAATGTGCAGTTGGTTTTTTTTTTTTTTTTCGAAAAATAAATATCCAAAGTTTGAGGTGCACACATCACGTAGATATAAGTATTATTTTTCTCTTTTAAACAAGGATTACTGTATAGCCTAGAATTTAGTTCTTTTGGTAATTAGTTTAGATTATAACCAGAATCTAATTTTTCTTCACCATTGTGTCTTATGAATGATGTGATTTGATTGTGAATTGTAAAAATTTTGTTTTTACCATTATCTCTTTTGAATGATGTGATGTGATTGTGAATTGTAAAAAATTTGTTTTTAGTGTCAGCTTGTTTTCACACCTGATGCACTTCACACAGTTGCAGAGTCTGCCTTTCAAAAGAATGTTGGAGCTCGTGGGCTTCGGTCGTTACTGGTTAGCTATTGTTTCATTTGTAGTCTGTGTAACAGTAGATATGTAAATGATGATGTAACCAGAATCTGCTACTAAAGTTTGATATTCTCCTTCATTTGTGCATCACATGTGTTAGATTAGGCTGCTGAAGTCAGAACGTTTGTCAGGTGACAATTTATATTTGATTACAAAGATATCTTTTGTAAAATTTTCTTGAAAATTGCACAGGCTTCATATCAGAAGAGTTCTATGTAGGTCGATTGATTTGTAGCAATTTGTTGATTATTCAAGTATAATATCTACAAATTTCGTAGTGATTATAAACTTTCTTTTATTTCAGGAGAACTTGTTAGAAGATCCACTGTTTGAAGTGCCAAATTCAAATATCAAGAAAGTAGTTATCACCAAAGAAGTTGTTCTGGGACAAAAACCACCAAATTATTTCAAATCCTGATACATGTAATAAATAGTCCCCTGTTTAAACTGTCTGTGATATAGATTACAAACATTGTGATGCCATAACCAACATTTCAATAAAGTTTATCATTTTCTTTTTCAATAGTGTCAGAATTTTCTTATACTTTATTCATAAATGTACTGTAATATAGAATTCACATAGTTCTGTAGGGTATAATCAGTATAAACAATACAAGCACATCATATAGTTGTCTTAAGTATAAACACCATCAACAGAACATTCCTGACACACCTTGAGGTTTTATAAAGCAGTTAGTTGTAAATGCAAATATCATCCAGGAATTTTATCATTTTTTGGTAGAGCACTGTCAAGGTACAATGTATAAGAACTAGAACTGTAAATTATCTTAGTTTAATACTGTATTTCTAACATTGAATATATTCCTTTGATATGGATATAAATGCATTAATCTACCTCTGTAATTGTGCTAGTACTCTTGTAAATGCTGCTAAATATACCCTGATGCATCATTAAGCTCAGTTGAGAAAAATATATCGCATTTCTTCCTTTAGACTACCTGTGTTTCAGAGGATTTTCAAACCAGATGTTTTAACACAGGAATTTGATTCCATAATAGATTCGTTGAGTCATCTCGGATTTAGAGAATTTTTCAGGATTCCAGACAAAATTATCCCCATATTTGCAGGTGCAGCAGCTATAAAACCTCTTTACTGCAAATGACTCTGTCCATCATAAGATTAACAAGAGGCCCAGAGGGCCTGTATTGCTCACCTGGATCTTAATGTCCAACAGTACTATATCTGTGTATATGTTCCACGTTTAACACATTTGACCCCTGTGACCTTGACTGGATCAAGGTCATTTCTTTTTGCAAACTTTCAAGGACTTCATAAAAGGAACATATTGGCCAAATATAATGATTCTAGGCCTTCTGGTATTTGGGAAGAAGTCGTTTAAATGCTTTAACACATTTGAATTCTACGACCTTGAATATTGGTCAAGGTAATTTATTTTTGCAAACTTTGTTGGGCTTCATCAAAGGAACCTTCCAGCCAAATATAATGATTCTAGGCCTTCCAGTATTTTGGAAGAAGTCATTTAAAGGTTTTAACACATTTGACCTCTGTGACCTTGAATATGGGTCAAGGTCATTTCTTTTCGCAAACTTTGTTGGGCTTCATCAAAGGAACCTTCCAGCCATATATAATGATTCTAGGCCTTCTGGAATTTTGAAAGAAGTTGTTTAAAGGTTTTAATACATTTGACCTCTGTGACCTTGAATTTGGGTCAAGGTCATTTCTTTTCCCAAACTTTGTTGGGCTTCATGAAAGGAACTTTCCAGTCATATATAATGATTCTATGCCTTCCAGTATTTTGAAAGAAGTTGTTTAAAGGTTTTAACACATTTGACCTCTGTGACCTTGAATATGGGTCAAGGTCATTTCTTTTTGCAAACTTTGTTGGGCTTCATCAAAGGAACCTTCAGCCAAATATGATAACTCTACGCCTTTCAGTATTTTAGAAGAAGTTGTTTAAATGAAAAGTTGACAGACGCAGAACGGACAGATGGATGGACGGAGGACAGAAATCAACAAAATACATTACTGAAATGAGACCAAGTTGATGCACGTTATTTATTTTTTTGATTTGATTTAAACATATTTTATTTGTCGTATAACAAAAAGGGTTAGGCAGAAGTTATCGCAACTTTAAAATGCCTTCTCCAAAAGATTTTATTATACAAGTTTCATGACAACAATAACAATTTTCAATCAAATATACATATATACAAATAAAGAAAAAAAGAGGGAAAAGGGAATGAAGGAAGAAAGGAGTGGGAAATAGATTTGTAATGACATGATATATAAGTATGCTACAAACCTTAAAATCATTCACTATTTTTGATGTATGTTTAAACTGAAAGAAAAATATTTTCATTATCTTCATCAGACAGGTTTTAGGAACCAGAAAGAATAACATCAATAGAAATATTACAGTAACATGAGATACCATCTATCATAACTTGTCTTTGTTGTGTATACAGTATACAATCAAAGAAGTCATGAATTACATTTTCACACCCATCACCACTTACACATGTTGGATCACTTACAATAAACTACTACATGAATGAAGCAATCGCATATGTAAAATATATAGAGAATTACTTCCAACATAAAAAAAAACTTAAGGTAACAATTCATTTTGGCTATGGTGAATCAATAACTTAAAACTGTTTACAGATGGCTGTTCTCTGACACTGTTTGGTAAATCATTCCAAAGTCTTATAAAAGAAATGAACTAGACAGTCGGAAGTACGGAATGGTGTAATTTTCAGTATTTCTCACTTGATATCAATTTTGTTCATGTGCTGCAGGAGAAAGTAGGTTAGTAAGATAAGGTGTTAAGTTTATTGTGGAGTTTACCGGTATACATGAGAGAAAGTTTCTTCTTTGTTTATAATGTATCAGAAAATTTAATCCCCTAGACCTCTTATCGTGTTCTTATGTCGCGTTTAATTTCATCTTCATTACAAGTCAATAATGTATGAATCAGCAACTTCAGTAGTGCCAATGTCAATCAAAGTGTGCTGGCTGATCAGTGGGTTGCAGAGCATATTGGTGTGGATACAAAATTTTTTTACAGGCGGTGAAACAAGAGTTCCAAATGAATAAAGTGTTAGATTGACTAGTTTCACCGCCAAGGGTGATATCTTATCTGGACAGTTTTTGTGACCGTTCTCATGTACATAGGTTGGCTGGTTGACTGGCTTTCAATCTACATGACTTCCTGTGTCAGGGCATCGTCTCATCGCCGAGCATGTTCTGGCGACATACAGGGGCAACCTGCATCCCCCACAGAGGGGCAGAACCGTCTCTAGCGGTGAACATTTGATTATACATGTTTTAGCAGACTGCTCAAGGACCTAATAATGCCTTATACTACCTTAAGTGGTTTGAAACATGGTCAGAATCTGAAAGGAAGAATTTGGTGCCTACCTAGATTTTGTTTGTGTTAGGGTAATTTTGAAGTCCGTCCAATGTTTTAAAAATAATTATAGAGCCTAACACTATCCCTAAACACCTGAGCTGGCATTATCACACTTACTCCTTTTTTTTTTAAAAAGTCACAGATGTATCTTTAGTGTGTGAGAGGGAACACTTCTCGCATGGTTCATGTACATAAAATAGGACTTGCTTTTGCACTTGTGCCAAGGGCAGGTAAGCTCTTGTACTTAAATCATATATTCATCAGCGAAATGTTACGATAAACCATGTTTCTAGGAATTAATCGTTAAATTTGTGAGAATAGTAGGGAAGTGTTCATTTAATTATATCAAAAAAATCCTCTAGTGGTTTTGGTTTACACATTAAAGGTAAAACTACTACAGTTTCACAATGCTTCAGTTTATTATTGCTTTATGTTCTATCAACAACTGGAGTCCTTTAAGAAAATGCAAGGTTTGGGTGGCGGAGGAAAGCTGGAGTTAACTGAGAAAAAACTACTGACTTGATCCCCTTTCTTCCACTTTTTAAGAACAAAGGAATTATATAACCAATACATGACAAAGGAGATGTCATTAAGACAGGTAGATTATTTACCTGTACTGTTCTGATACACTACCTATATACAGGTAGATTATTTACCTGTACTGTTCTGATATGCTACCTATATACAGGTAGATTATTAACCTGTACTGTTCTGATATGCTACCTATATACAGGTAGATTATTTACCTGTACTGTTCTGATATACTACCTATATACAGGTAGATTGTTTACCTGTACTGTTCTGATATACTTCCTATATACAGGTAGATTATTTCACTGTACTGTTCTGATATACTACCTATATACAGGTAGATTGTTTACCTGTACTGTTCTGATATACTACCTATATACAGGTAGGTTATTTACCTGTACTGTTCTGATACACTACCTATATACAGGTAGATTATTTACCTGTACTGTTCTGATAAAGTACATATATACAGGTAGATTATTTACCTGTACTATTCTGATACACTACCTATATACAGGTAGATTATTTACCTGTACTGTTCTGATATACTACCTATATACAGGTAGATTATTTACCTGTACTGTTCTGATATACTACCTATATACAGGTAGATTGTTTACCTGTACTGTTCTGATACACTACCTATATACAGGTAGATTATTTACCTGTACTGTTCTGATAAAGTACATATATACAGGTAGATTATTTACCTGTACTATTCTGATACACTACCTATATACAGGTAGATCATTTACCTGTACTGTTCTGATATACTACCTATATACAGGTAGATTATTTACCTGTACTGTTCTGATACACTACCTATATACAGGTAGATTATTTACCTGTACTGTTCTGATATACTACCTATATACAGGTAGATTGTTTACCTGTACTGTTCTGATATACTACCTTATTTGATACCTATATTTCCTGTTTACTTAATTATGCATGTGAAATTTGGGGTTTTAGTCCGGCACCCCAGTTAGAGAAAATACATCTATTGTTCTTAAAAAATGTGTTGGGTGTTAAAAAGAACGTGAATTCTTCTATGGTCTACCATGAGCTGGGTCGTTTCCCTTTGTTAATAAATCGTAAAATAGCTGTTATGAAATATTGGCTTAAATTACTGCATACCGATAATTGTGTTTTAAAGTCATGTTATAATGAACTTGTAGAGCTAAATCTAAGAAAACCTGGATTTAAGATGAATTTTATGTACCATGTAAAGCAAGAGCTTAGTAGTTTAGGGTTTCATGATGTTTGGTTGACTCAGTGTATTTCAAATGAAAAGCATTTTTTGATGCTATATACTCAACAGTTACATGATGTTTTCATTCAAGAGACAAGAAACAGTTTTGAAAATTCATCCAAGTGTATATTATATAAACATATTGTTGACCGGTTTGAACTGCAGTTTTATCTTCGTAAGTCTTTGACTTTTAAATCTAAAAATATCCTCTCTAAGTTTAGGATTCAGGCACATAGTCTAAACGTTGAGACCGGTA